ATTATTAATATTACCACATGTATTACTAACAATAAAAATTAATTAAAGTCCAATGAAAAATAACAGAAAAAGTGTTAGTACTATTCCAACCAATATCTGATAAACAAAAATTAACATAAACCTATATTGATTTTTTTATGGAAATAAGATAGAAATAAGATATAAAAAATTGACAATTTTCTAAAAAATTATAAAGTTTATTGATAACATCTATATATCCAAATTGAAATTAAGAGTAATAGTAAACTAATAACAACTTAACACTAGAAACTAGTAAAAATTACTGGTTTCGTTTTATTTTTGCAATTATTACAAAAATACACGTGTTTATAATAATAATAATGTTGACTTTTGTTCAAATAGAAATGTTATTATATATACTTATTTATTTTCATCATACTATTTTAATATTATTGTTTGCGTACACTATATTTTGGAATACATTTTAGATCACTAGTTCTAGTTTTAAATATAAAAAAATATTACAATTTTTTAAAATATCTTGAATTAAGATGTGATATAATCAAAATTGTAATTACAATATACATACAATAATTTTCTGCAAATATTAAATGATAAAGATATATCAATGGCAGTTCTGCCAAACTGTTGTTATTCAAGCTCAATCCAAGCTGTTAATTACTTTTAAAAACTTCTTAATTAATTTTTGAAAGTGAAAAATTATAAATGCTGATAAAAAAAATTATATACCTTTTATCTTTTTTCAAATCAAAGGAAAAAAATGTAACAAAATAACAAGGTCTTCTCAATAAAATTGAAAGGAGTGGACCATTTTGAGCCGAATAAAAATATATTTTACATGACAGCAATGTTCTTGTATGATATTTAAAGATTTTAACTAACAAATAAAGGAAAAATGAATGTTGTTGTTACTAATTACATTATAAATTACAAAAAGTATTACATTAAACTAAATTTTTGCACAATCAAAGTTATTCTCTTTTTGTCTTGAGAAGTAATTTCTTTATTTTTTACTGACTTTCATTTGAAAAAAGAATCTCAACCATATCATTTTAAGTAATCAGTTTAAGTAATCTAATATACTGTACATATTATATACTACATAAGTGTACTTTTTCTTTTATGGTTGTTTCTCATTTTTCTTCTTTCCTAGATATAATAGAAGTGATATAAAACTTCCATTTGTGATAGAAACATACTAATTACATTAACTATACCTATTTGCTTTATAAATTTAAGTTAGTTATAATTTAAATAACACATTTGTTTGAGAAATGGATGGAATAGCACTACTCTTGTCTATACTCTTGCCTAATATATATACATATATACTATAGTACACAATATACTTTTTTAGATATATTGTAGAATTATATGTACCAGACATTTACAATGCATTGTATTATTTTTAACTATTTTAAATTAACAGAGAAAATAAAGAATATTAAATATATGTCTACATTTCTGTTAGACAGTACAACATTTCTCGACCTGTACAGTTGAACTATATATTATGAACTATATTTTGAGAGTAAATGGTTGTATATATATGACTGAAAAAATAGCAAATATTGATTCTTCAATCACTAATATAACTTACAATTTTGAAAATGTTTCTCTATTTCTTCTTTAGTCCAGTTGCACGATGTTAGGACTAAGTAACCAGAAGGTAATAGAATTTTGTACACATTTTCTATATATTTTTGTCGTTTTGTCGCAGGATCTTGCGGATGTAAACTGACAGCATCGTAAGTTCCTTTATCATGTGCTAATTTAAAATCTGTCGGTAAATCGAAATCTTCAGTATTCAGTATATCGTAAATTTTTAACTCGATTTGTGACATGTTATTTTCTTTCAATATTTCACTGGCTAAGTCAACTGCTTTTTGTGAATAATCTATACCTATTAAGTTTTTAAAACCTTGTTGTGCAAGTTCAACTAATGTAATTCCGTTTCCACATCCTAAATCGATTATTTTCTCATCCTTATTAAGTTTTAATTGCGTATTAATCCATCTGAAATATTAAACATGAAATTAGTGAAAAAATATACATAAGGAAATAATGTATTTTTACAATAAATTATTTCACAATGAATTATAAATAGATAAAATTATATACGTATAAATACATTATACGTATATTAACTATTATTAAAATGACTGCCTATGATAAACGTATAAGAACAAGTGCTTAATACTAAATTTGTGTATGTAATTTTAAATAAACAGATAATAAACATTAACGATATTACCTTCCAATGATGATATACATGTTACCAACTACTGTTCCAGACATTGGAGAGATAGCACCACCAGTCTCAGATTAAATTGTTTTGCTGTTTACGCGAGTATTGATCGTGTTGTATACACTTTTACGTATTTTTCGCGTTATTGTATGAATTTTTTGTGTATTAATCGAATAACTTACCGTATGATCTTTAGTGTATTACTTCTACCAAACCATATCTCGCCTACGTGTCCGTGATCCTTAAAATTATCAAGTTCTTCCGAATAAATCCTTTCCCAACTGAAACAATTGTGGCACATAAAGTAATGTTTATCGAGTGTTTCACATTTACGAATACGGTATGTATTACTTACTAATCTAGTGTACCTAAATCTGATGGCCCAAGTTCATCAATATTTTGATCTCCCATAATTTTATTTTGATTATATGAAAATTATGATGAATCCTTATTTTATGTATTAAATGTGTTAGTTTTGGCTTTTAGATGTATTTTTATTAAATCAATGATTTATACGACAAATGCATTTCGCAAATTTCACTTGACGTAAAATATGTACTCGTGTTATGCGAAGCGTATTGAACGAACATAACCTCACGTCTGCTTATAACCTACACCTAACAGTATTATGCTACGTATAATATATGCTACATAAGCGTGATTGTGCAAGAATCATAATCTTTATAAATATTCGATATATTCGTTAGTTTTTGGGAAGTGTTAATTTGTTAAATATGGTCAGTAAAGTAATAAATGTATTCCAACTTGGTAAGTAAAAATCTCATTTGATAAAATTTATTTTTATATATATTTTATGTTTATAGTATACTCAATTGTAAATATATATTATATGAGTAGGTTAACATACATACATACATGTAAGGCTGTAAGTAATAAAAGTATACAAATTCTCTGTAATTGAATAATAAATTGAAAATTTAATTAAATAATTTATTTAATCAAAGCATGAGATAAATATCTTATATTTTGAGTTAAAGTATATATTTAGAAGCTATGTATATTTATATATATTCATATATAATTTTTGACAATGCGAATAAAAGTACTTTTATTTTTAATTTTTATTTCATGGTTAAAGGTATAAAAATATAATTTTATGTTGCTATACAGGAAGACAATGCGTAAAATCTTCCATTTTACCTTGGTGTCAGTTTTCTACAACAGTAAATTCAAAACAAATAAATAATGTTAAACCAAAAACAGGTATTTTAATGTTAAACATGGGTGGGCCTAGTAAGCTTGAAGAGGTGCATGAATATTTATTACGTATAATGACTGATCGTGATATGATTCAACTACCATTTCAAAGGTTTAATTAAATAGATTATGATAGTTTATAGTATTCATATTAATGTTAAATTAAAAGAGATTCCATATTAAAATATCTATTACAGTCAATTAGGTCCTTGGATAGCAAAGTCTCGTACACCTAAAGTACAAAAAAAATATGCAGAAATCGGTGGGAAATCTCCTATTTTAGATTGGACAAATAAGCAGGGTAAACTTTTGTGTCAAAAGTTGGATAGCATTTCGCCAGAAACAGCACCTCATAAGCATTATGTTGCTTTCCGTTATGCTAATCCTCTTACTAACTATACACTACAAGAGATAGAAGAGTAAGGATGTCAATTTATCACTAAATCCAAATAAATTTTAAATCCAAATACAGTTATTAAAAGTGTGAGGAACAATTTTCTTTTGTATATATTTTCATTTTAGAGATGGTGTTGAACATACAATTCTGTTTTCTCAATATCCTCAATATTGTTGTGCCACAAGTGGATCAAGCTTTAATGAGATATATAAATATTATATTAACAGGTAGCTATTTCAGAACTTCTTTTGTAATATTCCTATAATAAATGAATTAATATCCATTTATATATATTTGTATTTTCAATCATATTTTTAATTTAGTAATAAAATTATGAAAAAAAAGTTATGAACTTTTAATACAATATTTAATATATAGAAAAATGCGGTAAAGGTAGTTTTTATTTGTAATAGAAAAAAGATGTGTCATTAAAACGTTTTATAAGTATGTAAGCTTTATTTCAATCATAATTTCCATTGCTTAACCTATAGTAAAATGACAGGATGTTTTAACCTATGTATAACTTATAATTACTCATTATAACACAATGTTCTATTAATTTTTCCTTTCTTTTGTACAGTTTAAATTATTTATTAATTATTAAATGTAATACATAATTTATTGTTTGCTGTTATCATTTTATGATAATATAAATAATTTTACTAATAGTAATTAATTTTAATTCCCTGTATAATATATTTCTTCTTCATTCAATAACTACATATTAACTAAAAAAAGATTTTTAGCTGGAAAAATTCTAATTGAAATAAAATTTTGTGTTTGTAAAATTAGTATATTTATAAAATTTGGCATCTCGTGTGTTCTCTTTTTCTAATTTAATTAATAACTTTACTTATATATAATGATACACAAAAATTCTATAGTATGCATACATATGCACTAGTCTAGTATATGTGTATCAGTTTGTTTAATATGTACTTGTTACTGATTTAGAGTTTTAAAGATTCATGTATTAATCTTGAATATATTTATACTTAAGTTAAATAAAGTGAAGTAAAATTTATTAATAAGAAAAAATATTTTTCATATCTAATTTTTCTATTTTAACAAATATTTATTCATTTAGTTATTTTGATAAAATTCTGCTATGTTTTAGATATCTGAGGTTTTTGTTTTGATGGTATATAAATTTCAAAAGTAAAAGCTGTTACGAAATTTATATTATATCTCAGTAATTTGATTATCTTGGTATTGCATTCCATTTCTAACCTATTTTACCATTTCTCTTAGAATTGTGGTTTCTGGACTTCCCGATTATCTGACTACGCGATCCACTGCACTATGATTCTTTAGCTCGTATATGCGCATGAGTCCCTTATACCTGGCCTATCACTTCGTTCATGAAAAGTTTTTATGCTGCATGAATTATTAAATTAACGAAATAGTTATTTCATTTTTTCATGTATAAATTATAATATGTAATTGATATATAATATATAATATATCATATATAATTTTGTATAATTATGAAAGATAGAGGAATCATTTGATACAAATAGTCTTCTTTTTAATCGAAAATTTTATAGAGGAAGTGTTTCCTAGTATTCAATGTGCAGTAAATAATTTCTTATTTTTACGTACATATTTTTACTTATTTATGTAACACTTTATTTCATTCGTATTGCAAATTCTCTTAAATTTATTTGCATTTTATGATTTATTAATTTACGAATAATTCATGGATAACCTATAAGCTTTCTTAAATAAGCAATTTTGTATTATATATAATGTTGTCTCGGCAGTTATGAGCTTTACATTAGTTTACTTATATTTTAACTGTAATTAGACTAATAATAAATGTTAGATATTTATGTCAGCTAGAGTAATAGTATAGTAATGAAATAGTAATAAATATTAAGTATTTATCTCAGAGTATGACAGGTTCCCTTTTCTGGTATTTATATCTTACTAAACATACACATATCGGCATAATATAATATAGTGCAAAAGTATTTGGTGGAGCTTGTTATTACAATTTATTATTATAAGAAAATACGAATTTAAAAGGAGATTAACAGATTCAATATAATTTCTCTCTCTTTCTGTTAATATCTAAAAGTAGGATAGACTGATTTACTCACGAGTACAATATAAATATTATTGATATACACGCGTATATGGTATCTTTGTATTATTTTGAATGTGCTAACAATTCAGCCAATTTTATTTTATCATTAGATAAAAATGGGTAGAATAAACTTTATCGACATTACTTTGCTTTAAAAAGTAGCCACTATACATGATAGCTATATGTAAACAAAAATACATCTACTATAATACTAATAAAATCATCAGATCATAGTGCATGTTTGTTGTAATTTTAAATGTTGTTTGTTTTGTTAACAATAATTATTTCCTTTTTTCTTGTGGTTAATAATTACATTTTACGAGTATTATATTTCATAATAAAATAACAGTTATAATAAATAAATTTATTTCAATATAGACTTGATAGAATAATTTATAAAGGTGCGTGTATAACAATTTTCCATTTTGTTAAAAATTTGTTACAATATAAAATTTTCTGTCATTTTATTATAGACTTCACTTTATATTCGTAATTGTTCTAATTAAATATATTGACATATCTTTATTAAAATGACGATATAAGATTGAATAAAATAGTTCTTAATATAAAAATATATTAGATATCACTTAAAAATTCATAATTTACAGAAAATTGCCTTCTAATATGAAATGGAGTGTGATAGACAGATGGGCAGCGCATCCATTGTTCATAAAGACAATTATAGATAGAATTAGAGAAGAATTAGTTAAATTCCCTGAGGATGTGAGGAAAGATGTTATAATTCTATTTTCAGCGCATTCGTTGCCATTGAAGGTTACAATTTAATTTTAGATACCAATTGATATTTTAATACTTATATTGCCTCTCTTTAAACAGTGCTCTCTTTTATATTGCCTCTCTTTATACACTAAATTTTAGGCTGTATCTAGAGGGGATGCTTATGCGTCCGAGGTAGCAGGCACGGTTGCTCTAGTAATGGAAAAATTACAATATTGTAATCCATACAAATTGGTATGGCAGTCAAAGGTATAAAGATACCTCTTTATTTTATTAATATATTTTTTATTGTAAATCAGTATAATTTTCGAAACATTACTTTCGTGCAAGACTTCAGAAACCACTATTTTGTAGAATTATTTATAAACATTTAATTACTAGATAGTATTTTATCGTTGAAGATAAAAACGTAAACAATTTTGAAAATAATATCATTAATACAATATTATGTCCTTTTAAAATTAATACATATTTTCTTACTAACGAATTATAAGTAGCTTTCATATTATTCAGAAATACGGAAATATTTTGTTTTAATCATTACATTTTATTTAATGTAATATTATAATATAATTTTAATTTAATTATTTTTTGCCAATTTTTTGATCGTAATATTTTAATTCTTTTTGTTCTAATTCTTTAATACAATTTACCTTGCTAAAATCAAATATACGATTTTTAACTGTTATCTAATTGCAATAATTATTCTTATAATTTTATAATTTCTTTTTTATTATAATGCGTTAATATGTGTATTTAGGTTGGGCCTGTGTCTTGGTTGGAGCCTTTTACAGATAATGCTATAAAAGCTTATGTAAAGCAAGGAAAAAAGCATTTTATATTAGTACCGATAGCATTTGTTAATGAGCATATTGAAACTCTGCATGAATTGGATATTGAGTATTGCAAAGAATTAGCAGAAGAAGTAAGTGTCGTTGTATATTAGTTTTAATTTATGAATAGCTACTACCGAAAATTTTTTATTTTTGTCTTTAGCTCGGCATTGATAAGATAAGGAGAACTGCTGCACCTAATGATCATCCTACATTTATAGCAGCTTTGGCAGACATTGTTGTTTCTCACTTGAAATCAGATAGACCAATTAGCCCCCAGTTCTTAATGCGTTGCCCACATTGCTTTAATAGCAATTGTAGAGAGAGCAAAGATTGGTATGCTCAAATATGTAAAAATTAAACAGGATGTCCAATGTATAAAATTTATAAACAACCTGTACATTGTTATATATTGTTTATATCTATTTATTTATTCACTCACTTTGTTATAATATTTCTGTTGATTTCAGCACATGTAACGCTAACATTACATATTTAATAATTAAAATTTAGTGCTTGTGTAAAATCTACAGTAATTTTGTAATATAATTTTTTGAATAAAGTGTTGATACTTCTTGATAAATATTGTTGCTGTCTTTTTTCCTGTTATGCATTTGACTTAACTCGATAATAAAACCTTATTATATTTTCCTTTATCATCGTTTTGTAAATATGAAATAAAAATTAAACGTTTACATTTTTTTTATTTCTCAGATTGTTTTGTAATGAAAGATTATACATTATATAATAAATAATGAGTTTTTATCAGTAATAAATTTTTATCTTAATACTAACATATAAATTTTCACGAAACAATATTAAATGTAAATAATGTATCATTTCTTAAATCTTTAATATTGATCCTTACGATATAAAATAAAAATATAATATGAAAATAAGAAAGTAATAATTGCATTAATCGTTATTGTTTACAAGATAGAGATAAACTTTTCAAATTATGATAACCATTATCAGATCATTGAACAAATCTAAAACAAATATTTATAACATTTTAAATATTTATTTTGCTTTAGTTAAAATAAATAATCATCTATTTTATACATAATTAATAGTTTTTGAAAGAATGGTATTCTTTTAGAACAGGTAGTATACATAAATTTATTAAATATTTCGTTCGATATTTATTAACTAGTTATGGATATATTGAAACAAAATATCTTAATATTCTATATTTACTTATTTATGTTATTAATAATATTAATTATAGTCCAACTTAACTTTTTAAAACATATTACGAAATGAACGAGTATCAAAATTTATTTAATTACACTGTAAAAGTTATGCGAAGCAAAAACAATTTTTTGTTACGAACTCTAGTCAAATTTCTTAATTACTTTAATTAATATAATAAAATTCTTTAATTACTGTAACATTGACAATTTAATCACGCCAAGTGAAATATAGTTCATAATTATTATTTAAAAAGATTTCACCTTTTCATTTGTCTCATTCATATCTTTTCTCTACTTTATAGTACACAGAGTACATAATACATATACTTGTAGTTAACATACACGTATACTTGTTATGACCACGTACGGTGCTAGGAAAGATTTGTACTGATAAATGTTATTTATGTAGGAATAGTTTCGGTGTTATATCTTGATTTACTAAGGTAATTTAAGTATGACTTTTATTTATTCCTTGTATATCTTCAACTTTCATAGTTTTTATAATCGCGTGAATAATATCATTTATACTAAATCTTATACATTATTCTTTATCTTATACATTATTTAAATACTAAATCTCACGAATGTTTTTAGTGTTTATTTATTACGTAGTTATTCATTACATTTATATATTTACATAATTTGTTCATTTATTTATTAGGTTATTTATTATCATAATATTGTATTATTTATTTCTTATATTTATATAAGAAATAGTTATTAGCACAGTTATTTAATACATCTTTCTGTTATTTAATTGCAGTCTAATAAAAATAGAGAAACAAAAAGATTTAATCGTGTACAAGAAGATCGCATGTGTATGCAAAATAGATTGTAGGATATAACACGTATTTCAACCTGTACTTTTGTACTAAGTACTATTTCTTTCGATGGGTTTTCTAAAACGTAATGTATCACACAGGAAAAGTTATGCATATTTTTTAAGTACTTAATATGTTTCTAGTTTATTACAGAATGCATATTATTTCGTTATAATATATATAAAGTTTTGAACTTATATCTTGAACGTTTAATAAAAAAAACAGTAAAAGAAAGTAAAATTATTAATATTAATAATTTTTACCTAAATTTTCTTACATAAGAATTATAACTTAACTATATTGTAAAATTAGTTAAAAATGGCAAAATTTCATTTACATAAATTTTTAAGATAGACATTTTACTCTAATTTTCAATAAATTGAATTTTAATAAATTTGATGGTAACAGATTTAAAATTAATTTTTAATACGATTTATATTTGCGTATAATTTTTATAATCAGTGAATGTAAATGTTAAAATAAGTTTTGCAATGTATTCTACGAAGATTGCATTTGTTATAAATTTTTCTAATTTGCGTATTTTTCCTGCCTTTTCATTAATACATTTTTATATATCAATATATCTAACGTCTATTAGTAATAAATCTAGAATTTATTAATACCCAGCATACGTATAAATAATAGTATTAAAATACTTCTGTTTTTTAAATATTTAAATTAAAAGAAAAGAAAATATATACATGGTAGTATGCTATACAATCTTCGTATATGTTCAAAAACATTTTAGGTTACTAAAGTAATAGAAATATAGAACGCGGTGAATTTTTCTTAAACGAGTTATAAAAGCTATAATAAAGATAGAGTCAGAAGATTATTAAATAAGGGAAATTTCCTGAAAATTAAAAAGTTAGTAGTGTCTGCCAATAAAATGTCAATAAAACTTTGGAAATAAAAAGAAGAGAAAAGGAGCTGGGATTTCTCGGAGATATAAAAAAGAAAAATCAGTTTATAAGCTGTTAAAAGGAGTATAGACTACACAGTTTCATAGCATTTATGACAGTAACCCTTCGATTTCTTTGCAGGTTACTCCCTCGGGAGTTATCGCGGCGACAGCAGAGAGCGTCTGCCGCGCTCGAGGTATCGAACGTGAATGGCGCGGCGCTGGGTGCCGCGACGCTTATATAAATGCGCGGCGTCGGCAGGCGCGCTCAGTATGTGTCATGCTTTGCGAGCGCGAGCGTCGTCTGTGATGGCGGCTCGAGTGCGGTTGAAGATGCAATGCGGCACCGTCATGTTGCTGCTCGTTGTCATCATCGTAGTGTGTGGTGTGGATCTTGTGTGTGGAATGTTCGAGGATCGTCAATGCAATCACCAGCATCCCCGGCCACACGAGGTATTTCCCTCTTACTCACTCTTACTCTCTTTTCACCTTTGTTGTCCGCGTTCGCTTGGCAGACGCACACGAACCAAGCAACTGGACTACCAGTCCTCGTTGTTAGTCCCACTTCCCTCTTCTCAATTTTTTCTAACCAATATTTATCATTCTTCCATCGTATCTCGCCTTCGTTCCACGGTTTTCTTCTCCTTATTGCATTAAACGAGTCCTTTTCCGTTTCTCTAGGGATGAAATCGCGTGATTGCAACGAAGCGTGCGTTTCACGTGTCACGTGCTCGTGCTGTCTTTCTTGCACACCTGTACCTCGCGTGCGTCCCACTTTAGCCTCAACCAATCAGCATTGCTCTGCTCCGTTCGCTAGACCTTTAGGTGCTACGTATTATTCTTTTCAAAATCCCTATCATTACCGACGTGTCGTCGATGTTCTTCTTAACGCGTCTGATCAAATTTCTAGTTCGTAAACCTTCGCCTCGTAAAATTCAAGGTTGCATCGAGAATCCTGCTGCATAGTTTGCTTGTTCGAAGTGTGGAATTTATATCGTACGCGAAACTTCGTACACGTGCTCGGTGATTTTGCAGTGTCGATTTGTCTCATGTGCGGTTTCTCGCGGTATATTCGTCGCTGATCGAAGTGTAACACGGTGAACTGTGAAATAGTGGCTCTCGTGTCTACTGTGGAATGTGACTTTGATCGTGCGGAGAAAGGTACCCGTGAACTTGTTTTCATGCGCCGGCGAACCACGTGTTTTGGGAACGAGCAGCGCCCCCTGTGTCTTTAGTTGTACGACTTTTTACTGCTTACGCTCCGTTTCCTTCGTAAGTCACTGCATTTTCATTTCCACCAACTCAAATTCAAGTTCGCTCTTTTTTCACACTGTGTAATATTTGCTTAATTTTCATGCGTAATTTAGAAAAATACGGTACGTTTATGATAGCTGGTAAATTCTATTTAATATCGTGTTTAAGTGTTACATTGTTAGTAGAATTCGTTTCTGACGTATATATATGTCGTACATCGCTCGCGAGGTTAGTAAATAGCAACTTATTGAATTCTGACATTGCGAAGTACATCAATGTCAATGTAATAATTCTTGATAATTACTATTTAATTCTTTTGTCGTAGGTCTTATTAATCTTCGTTATAGTAATGTTCTTGTGTTAACTATTATGGTGCAATTGTTTTTTCCTTGATGATTGGGTAAATGTCGTATTTTCTTTTAAATCTAACAAATTCCGGAACTAAATGGACTGAATGTCTGATGTTACGTAAATATTATAGCATTCAATGTTTACGAAAGAATATTTTATACGAATCATTTTGAATGAAAAATTGTGGAATACGATATATCGAGTTTGTGTGAGTTTATGTTTTAAATTGCGTATTTTTCGTGCGTATAAAACGACAAAATGTAACGTCAGTTAGTTATTCAGTTAAAAAAAATTGTATAGTACTCGTCAAACGTACAGAATGAAATTGTACATATAAAATATGTATAATATTAAAAGTCTTATAAAATACTAAAATCATTGAAAGTTCATTTATTTTCTTGTTTCCTTATTTTATTACTTTTAAGTTTTATATTTATATATATCTTGAGTAAATGTCAATAAATATAAATAAATAAATATGTTTTGTATTATCTTTCTCAGAAATTTATTGGGGTATTAAATTATCATTATTGTTGCACATTTTTATTATTGTTTTTTATTTAGTACAAATAATGAGTAACACATTTGCAAAGTCAGAAAATCAGAATTTGAAGATGTTTTTAGTTTTTTGGACATTTTTAAGTTTCGTAATATTCGTAAGAAATTTTTGGAATATTTATAAAAATTTAATACTATAATTTCTAATGTATAGTAGCTAAGGGAGCAAATCTATGTTTCAAGAAATTATTTATTAATTTCATTAAGATAGTTGCATTTAAATATCTTTCATTATATCGATTAATTCTTATACCCTTTATATTGCTTTTCATCATCGCAAGTC